GTGGCCCCGGCGCCTGCGGAGCGCGCGGGGAGGCAGCGTGGAAATCTCTGCCTAATCGCTTTGTTTATGAGCCTCGGTGGAGGATTTCCAGTGGGCTTCCTAATGAACTGGTTTGTTGTTGAGACTTACTGCACTGCTTGTAATTACACGAGAAACAGGGGGTCAAGGCTCATCTTCCTTCCCACAAGCTTCCAACTACCAACCATTAAGCACATAAACTATACATTTTAGGTTTTTCTCCTTCCTTCGAAAGTTTAACTCCTAATTTACTTGCAGAATACCCATGCTTGCCTACCGCTCATCCTCCACTCAATTTGCACATATAATTGCAATTTATATGTTCCTTTGGTGCTTCTGAAAGCTTAGACAGCCTGAGAGTGCTGCTGGCCGGGGCCCGAGTGCAGATGCAGCTTTGGGCTGAATGGTAGGAGAATGAACTGGAGCTCTGGAGTTTGTTCTGGCCTACTTGGTGAGTAGTAACGAGGTCCAAAGTAACACGTCCGGGCTGGTGTGATGCCTGAAAAACCTTCAACCTTGAGTGTGTTTTGTTTTATATTTAAGCTGCCATTAAGGCAAAGTGGGAGGCTAGCTGAATCTGAAACAAGTGTGTTTGGTGGGTACTGACTTCATCTAAATGGGAGGGTTTCTTCCCAACAGAACCAGAGATGCTAATTTAAATACTTAATATATGCAACTTTTTGTACGTAAGGAGGAGGGTTATTCTGTATTAGTGTTCTATATGTTGTGGAACAGATGGAGTTCAGCTCAGTGTAAATGACTGGGAAGGAAGGGAGAGGATTCTTTCAAAAACAGGGCTGAAGGTTGAGGTTGAGTGGAGCTGCCTTTTCCATATCTCCATATATCATTTCATGTTTCCTATTTCAGGGAGACAGCCTTTGCATTTGACTGTTGTTTTATATAGGCTTATTAGTATTTTATTTTAGAAAACTTGACACACCAGCTCGTGGTCAGACGTTCAGTAGCCACAGGCGTCTCATTAGCGATCTTTGAGCCACGCTTGCTGAGATGGGGTTGTTGGCATGGTCAGATATTTCACCACGGTCTCCAGGTTTGAGCAGCAGATAATAAAATGACGCGTAGGGGAGGAATGTTGCTTTAATATGTATGAAAAGGGCTTCAGTCAGTGCCTCTTGGTTCTTGCCGGGCAGTTAAACTGCTTCCTGGACTCATGTTGCATGTCATTATCCCATATAGGTGCCTTTGAATCCTGCAAGCAGGGGAGCAAAGTGATGGAATTATGGAAAATGAGGGATGGGGCTAGGAGAAGCCTTCAAGAGATAGCAACTCCTCTCGTCTTTGTTGCTGCTTGGGGTCCCAAATTTCCCATAAACGGAGATGGACAGCAAACCTGAAACTGTTGGTGCTTTGCTTTTTCCCTTCTATTCCCCTCCATTTTCCTTAGCATTTCCCCGTAGGTTCCTGGAGATGCAGGGTGGGAATACTCTGCGTTTGATGTGTCGCTGCGGGTCAGCCCGGCTGCTCCCGAGCAGGTTGGTACCCCTGAAAAAGGAAAGAGGAGAGAAGCAAAAATGCTTGATTTGGTCTCAGAAATCCTTAGTCCTGTTACTGTAAATTTTTCAGCTGTCATTGCGACGTGACAGCCCTATCCTTCATGCTGCCATTGAGTTGTGCTCTGTGCGTTCGGTGCCTGGGTCACTCTTAAATCTTTCAGGAGGTCTAAACTGGCTGAATTGAGGGGAAGGAAACGTGCAGGAGGGATTCCTGGAACGCGTGAACGAGCCCTTTGTGGCTCCCTTTTGGCCCCCGGAAAGGAAACGAGGTTTCATATCTCTCCTTAGTGCTGCTATTTAAGTGTAGACTTGTTCATTGTACATTGTTGTTTCCACCAAGTTTAATAACCCTGCAACGTGAAGTGTTGGAACTCACGAGCAGGGAGAGGAATTCTGGAATTCAGCCTTAGGTTTGATGGGATTTTGGGCTGCGATCCCTCGTTATAGTCTGCTCAGTGGCTGCCTGTGGTGAATTCTTGTTCTTATCTTTGACCTCCCTGTGTTTTCTGAACGGATGTTGATAGCAGCAAGACAAGGACCATCCCCCTCGTATACGAGTGTCCCTAGATCCCTCTGCTGTCCTTGACGGGGCATCCAGCCCTGGAAACCCAGCGTGGCACTAAGGGGACTGGCCCAGCCCGTGTCCCCTGCGGCCCTGGTGGCCGGGGATGACCGGGCTCGTTGACTTCTGCGCGGGGCGGTTGGATCTGTGCTCTCCGTCACGCTCCGGATGAGGAGAAATCCATCCTGGACCCCTGTGGGATCGATGAAGTTGTCACGAGCACTTCCGTGTCGGGCATAAGACGTCCCAGGTAATTCATGCATTTACGGCCTCGATTTCAATGTTCTGAATATTTGGAAGATCCTTCCCTTTTGCCGTTGCACTGGAAGCAGCTGCCGTATCGAGCAGGATCTTGCGGCCCTGAGGGGAAGGTATGGAAAAAAAAAACCCTGGCATTGCTGGAGCATGAATATGCTGAGGAGCTGAGGAAATATAACTGCAGGATCCAGGAGGAGCCCCAAAGGAAAGAGGCTCTGTAAATTATTCATGCTCGCTAGTGTGAAAGCAATAAAATTAAATTAAAATTGAAATATAAACATACATCACGTTAGATTTGTGTGCAGAGAGGAGCTTGGCTACCGCAGCCTTGTGCTGTTGCAGCCGCCAGCATCGCGGCTCGGAGCAGGAGCAGCTCCCGCCCTGCTCGCCGCGGGGTTCTGGGTCATCCTTTTGCAGCCCCAAAACAATAGTAATAATAATATTATTATTAATTATATTATTCAAAACTGCTTTGAATAGCACGTGAAGGCAGAGAAGGTCGCTCTCCGGAGCCCGTCGATGGTACGTGCTGTGGGCTGCTCTTCTGCATTCCGCCTTGCAGCCCTGTACAGGTGGTTGAACATTTCGTAAGGAAAAGCGATTGCAAATCTGCCTGATGCAAATTCCTTAGGCCAGCACTGATGGTGGGGCTGGGAGAAGCCTCTGCCTGGCCAGGAATCTGCAGCACGGGCACCAGCTGCGCTCCTGCTCCCTTTAGCCAAATCGCATTTCCAGCCTTTCTTTCACACACTATTTTTCATTAAATGAATTGAATTTTCCTGAAAGTGCCTAGCCATAAATACTGCTTCCCACTCAGCGCGCTCGGGTTATTACCACTCTCCAAGTGGTTGCAGAGCAGGAGGTAACCAGCGGTTTTTGCAAATGAAAAACAGGAGCGGGGAGGGAAGTGGGAGAGCTGAGAAGGGTACGGAGGAATCTCTCTCCTCGCGCCCGCTCTCAATGGGTTCTTAACTGCAGCCATAAATCTTCCAGTAACGGTGGTGAGAAACAGAAGAAGGGGGAGAAGCAAGTTTAATGTCACGCGTTCCAGCCGAGAAAAGAGTTTTGCAAATGTGCGGAGGGGAGGGTGAAACAGCTTTAAAAAAAATAGCCCTGGAAAGTGGCTCTAATTACCTCGTCCTCTAACTCGGGATTGAAAAGCAATTTAGTGCAAGTGCGTAGCAAACGCTGCCGTGCGGAGCCTGCCTTTCCACGCAGCCCCCGCCACTGAGTGGGTTTTGGAGCCCTGGCTCTGGCCCTTTCCGTTTGTTCCTTCCCCAGAGCAGCAGGCTCGCGGCGGGAGACGCTCCTGCAGCCTGGGCAGGCTCTGCCTGCAAGCCCCGCTCTGAATTCTGCCTCAGCCCAGCAAACGCATGCATAAAAAAATGCATTTTTTTAACAGAAGGTGAAATCCTGGAGCTACCTGTTTGTGTAGACATCCCTCGTGGTAAGGGTGTCATTCCAGGGGTTAATTTTACATGTATGTTTGCTAGATGACATTAGTGGTAGGCATTTCCTCTGGTTTAGGGGTCTTTGCATTAGAGGTGGAACCCAGTTGCTGTTCTAACCTTTTGCTTGTCCACGTAGCCTTCAGTTCATCTCCTGAAATGCACAAGGAAAAATCATTTATTGGGGCTGGGCTTCACACGTTGATCACTAGCAGTATTTTATGAACGGTGCCAAAATTTGCCATTGATATTCCTTTGCTGCTTTAACTCTTTTATCGGGCCACTGGGGAGTCAAGTAGTTTTTGTGCTATTTGCTCGTGTATAAAACACCTAAGTTTCTCTCCTGAATTTTTCCAAAGTGGCGCAGGGTGTGAGGAGCTCCTGTTAGTTGCAACGTTGTCAATGCCTAAAATCGAGAGCGTCTCCGTGTTTATTCTAACCCATTTTTGTGCTAGCTTCACAAATAACCTCAATGCCACACGGGCCTCCTGGCCCTTAGCTGCATCCCGAGCCGTGTGTGCTCTCCCGCTTCCTTCTGATGATTCCTCCTCCTTCCACCACTCCTCCCTTTTACCATCCCTTTTTCTTTTTTCCAAAAGTAACCTATTAATTTTTGATAGCTGGACACAGCTGAGTAACCCTCATCCCTGTATGCAAACAATCTCTTTTTGCCGGCAGCAAGCGCTTCTTAATTTTCAGTGCTGCCGTTATGGTCTTGTGGAGGATTTATGTGCAGGATCTTGATTTATAATTATGAAGTTTAACTGCTGTGGTCATTAGGTTAGGCTTTTCTTCCTTGAAGGCTTTTGCAGTGGTGAAGCAGTGTTAATAAGCTCTTTTCAGCCTGAGAACCTCCAAAAGACGCTGACTGATAGGGGGGCCTCAGGTTCAGCTCAAATTCAGACCTGATTTACAGAGAGCAAAATTATTACTAATAACTGTGAGAATGTAATAGATGAGTGGACAGTCTCACACAGGGGGCTCGTGCTGCATCTGCCTTTGCCAAGGGCAGGCAGCTTCTTGTTTTCCATCACGCTGAAATCCCCACATGATCAGGGTCCTAGGTAACCCACCACAGCCCTTACAGAAAAAAACCCCGTAGAATGTTGTTTTGGCTCAGGAGAAAGGAAAACGCACAGCAAGAAAGGAAAAATATTCCTGTGGTCTGACGTGGTGTTGGTGTCTGGAAATCTCTTGCAGTGCACTTGCCGCAAAGACATGGTGAAGATTTCCATGGACGTCTTCGTGAGGGTCCTGCAGCCCGAACGCTACGATCTGTGGAAGCAAGGGAAGGATATTGCAGTCCTGGACCACATGAAGCCCACGGCTCTGAGCAGCCCAGAACTGGACGCCTGGAACGAGACGAAGGCTGATTTGAAGGCTAAATTACTTCGCAGGTAAAAAAAAAAAAACAACAACAACAAAACCCCCCAAAACCATACATTAATGAAAGTGTGAATACTTTTAAAAGAGTGGTAGAGCCACTGCTCTTTAGGGATTGTGTTTTGAGTTTAATTTCTGAACTCACTTAGCTTGCATTAGAAAATTAGATATATATTTTTGTTGCTAGCCAAGATCTAAACGCTTTAATTCTCAGTTTGGAACAGTTCAGACTGGTTCCTGTAGCTTCTCCTGGTTGCTCACTCACTCTTCCTTTTCTTCTAAGCCGTATAGGAGCACATGTTCTTTGAAAGTAGGACACTGTGCCCCCTTGCATCCCATCTTTTATCCTGTAAGACAAAAAGTCTGGAGTAAACATTCCTAGTTTCACTTATCAGAAAGTAGGAGGAAAAGAATTGCCAACTGCAAGAGGGGCTCCCGTGCATGCCTTTTCGTGCTTCCTTGTATCTCTGTATTCGTTTTCTGCAAGTTCATGTTTTGTACGTGTTGCAGTTTGCCTGCACGGAGGGGTTGGCTAACGTTGTGCTCTTGGAATCTTGCTTCGTAGGATAGGAGATGAGGAAGAGGACAACAAACACCGGTACGTGACTTCCCTCGTCTACTTAAATGACTTTTGTTCCTCCTCTTTTAATAATTCTTTTTGCCATAATGACTCTTAAAGCGTTCTTCTGGTTCAGGCAGTTCTTTGTTCTAGACTTTTAACGTCTGCTGCATTGAAAAGGCACAGCAAATGTTGGTTTCTCTGTTGGGGTTGCTCAGACTTCCTTTGTCTTGTCTTTGCATGGTTTTCTGAGCTGACCCCTTGTGTTACTAGGGGACCTTAACTATCTCGTGCCTGTTTTCATGAATGTGCAGCCAATATAAATAATAAAGCCAGGCTGAGGAAGATGCTGCAGTGCTGTGATACATGGATAATGATAAACGGATTACGGCTAAAGGTCACTGGAGCACAGAGTTAATAAAAAGCTGCTGCTTTCTGAAAGGTGAAATTGGCCTAACGTTTTGTAGAAATGGGCTGCCCGTGGGGGAGAACTCTCCATCCCCCTCATGCTTTCTTGAAGAGGAAGACTCGTTAGAGAGAGGAAATTGCATTATCGTTGGGCTTTAATGGACCCAGGGCGATGCAAAGTGCGGGCTCTGCCTTCTGCTTCCGGCCCCTCCTTTTCTCATTACTCTCATTCCTGCCCATTATGTTATTTCTTTCTGCTCGCATTTAGTCTTGTTGAATTTCTGATTTCAGTATTGGCAGCCTTTGGAAATTGTCCTCCTTCATCTGCACATAATACCTGCTTGCAGCTTTGTTTCAAGTAAGACTTCCTTGAAATGTAGCAACACAGTGTTAAATAAACAGCCTCTTGGTGCCATCTTTGACAGGGCCTCAGAGTGACTGTTTAAAAACTACCGACCTAATAAATTGGTGATAGAGGAAGCCCTTAGGCATTATGTCAAAGGCAAACGTGGCACGTGCTGAGAGGAGCTTGTGTCTCTCTCTAGAGCTGGTCTTTGTCCTGGGGAGTTTTCCAGCCCGTAGTCTTGCTTTGGGTCTGTCCTGTGTGTCGCTTATTCTGCATGACACGGTTTGTCCCTTGCTTTCCAAAACGTTGAAATGGGGAATGGCTGTTCGCACTAAATGCTCCTAACGACAGGATAAATAGGGCATTTTGTCAAATAACTGACCTCAGCTGTGTTGCTCCGCTCCGCGCTGTGTTTTCTGCCTTCCATAGTGAGTTTCAGGAAAAGCAGGGTGGTCCTTTATTATTATTATTATTTTCTTATCTGTTAATTGTTTCCTAGATTATTTCACTGTTATCATGAAGCAACTTCCAAACTGTTGAATATAGATATTTCTTTGCTGACATGAGTTAGCCATAATCTCAGTCCCATGCTTATGTCTTGAAGGCTGATGTGCATTAGCAGGATGGAGTTTGCAGGGGGAATGGGAGTCACCTCTGTCCCAACCTCCTCTCAGTTGGATCTGCTTAAATTAAATGGCTCTGTGGTCTGTTCTTCAAAGGGAACAAGCACTGTTTCTTGCCAGCTCTCCTGGAAAAAACAGCTTTTAAGCTCTGCAGAGGGCTCTCTCCTTTCTTCTCTAAGGTCATTCATACTTGCTTACCTTGAAAAACCCAACGTTGTTTATGGCTTCAGCAAGGGGCTGTTTCAGGCTGGTGCATTAATAAGTCAGCCCATTGCTGGTGTGGGGATTAGGTCAGAAATGCAGTGTCTTCTTCTGGAAATGTGCCCCCTTCTGCAAGCCCCGTTTCTGTAACTCCATGTGTGTCCCCTTCCTCTGCCCGTCTCCCCACAACCTCAGAGTAAGGAGAAGAGCATAAAAATCCCTTCATCTTCTCTGAACATACAGCTTTGGGATTTAATTTTTGTCCCACATTTCTAAACAACAGCAGTTACAGAGATGCCCTTTACCAACTACAGCTGCACCACTTGATTCTACTCCAGTTCTCTTTCCACCATGGAAAGTTCTAAACACAGAAGTTTTACAGGTTCATCTTATTTTTTCCCTTTTTCTCCTCCCTCCGGAGAAGGTGGGATGTTTTTAGAATCTCGGTGAAGAGAAGAGTTGATCCTTTTGGGTTCAACTGTGTGTTCCTGCTAATGAATGTCTTGCAGGTGTGAATTTAACATCTATACTTGGAGGGCTACCATATGGTTAGAGTCTAGCAATTATAAATTACTGTGCATATGGATTAACTTTCTTTTCTATTAATCATTCATCTCAGGTTGGATTTTTTTTTTCTTCCGTCTTTGTTGGTTGCCTGATTAAGGACTCTTAACTTCATTGTACTCCCAATCTAATTAGCAGCCGAGTTTTGGGGCTCTGAGGATGTGAAGCCGAATTGCGGCTCTCGCAGAGCTGCGGACAGATGAATTGGAACGTGGTGTCACTGCGCTTTGCAGTTTGTTACATGATGCTAGATGAAAGGGCACGGAACAGGGGGCCATATGGAAGACGCCGCTTTCAAAACAGAAAAAACTCTATGCTAAAAATGGTGGTAAAAATTGCAGCGTTCTGAATTAGTCTCTTTTGAAAACGAGAGCTTGTTGGGCTTAGACCCAGCATTCAAGGATCTGTTTGTCAGATCTTTAAAAAAATTCCAAAATAAAATGTGGTGCCTAACTGAGATTATCCTGCTTTCTGAATTTCCATTTGCCTCTGCCCCGTGATGACTGTAATCTCTTTGTTTTAGTGACATTGACTCTTTATAAAGACTGTTCTATTAGGCTGATGGCATTGCATCGTATCAATACGCCCTTTTTTTAGTTAGACTTCTTCATCGGCCTTGGACCCTGTGAATTACTACTGAAAAATGACAGGCTATTGATTATGCTGCAAGTATTCATTATGCCATATTTTTAAAACCTGGCAGCGCTGGGTAGCGTTTGAGCGCTGGAACGCGCCGCTCCGCCGGCTTCCAGCAATTTGCTGGAGGGACACGAGTACAGAATGAAACAAAACGGCGGAATGGAGGCAGAGCGGGGAAGAAAGACAAGTTGTCATTTTGAAACACAAGCAGAGCGGGTTTAAAATGCAATTAAAGTAATTTTAACTGCAGCTTATTAGCTTACATAGCAATGGAGGAAAAGGCTCTTCCAGAAGCCAGGACAACTCACGGCTGCTGTGAATGGATCTTAAACGATGTTATGCAAAGTTCATCCGATGGTCTCACATATCTGGTTTGCCCTGTAGCCTAGTATTTGAGTTACCTTTTGTTTTCTCTCCAAAGAAGATCCTTTTGTTTTCTATTCAAGTGATCATTTCATATATTGAAGGCAGTTCTTTTATGTCAAATCTCACTTCTTTCCCTCTAGGTCGCACAGAAAAAGAAGTCAACCCAGGAGACACAAAACAGAGGATCAGAAGTCTCTTGGGGAAGTCATGGCTATTGAAACTGCCTTGGAAGATGTGAAAGTAAAAGAGGAGCTGAAAAAGGGGCCAGATCTAGAGGAAGAGGAGAGGAGCAAAGTGGCAGAGGGAGAAGGTGAGGGCCCTGCTCGCTGGGCTTTGCTTCAGCAGGGATCTGGGGCAAGCTGTTTCACCAAAACACGTCCGTAAATAACTTGTCTAGTGTTGTTTATTTCTGTTGAAATATCAGCAGAGTCTTTTCCAATATTAAATCTGTGCTTACTGAAATACACCATCATTTACAGCAGCAATTGATTTTTTTCCTCTCTTTAACAATTCAGTCCAAAGAGCTTTCTTGGCTGGCCTTGGAAGTTCTGCCAAAACTATTACAGTTTTGTAAAAATATGTATTAAGGGAGAAATATTTTTAAATATTTCATAAAGGAACAAATAAATATATTTTGTGTCTTCCTCTGAAAAGGAAAGATTTGAGCGTTCCCTTCTGCAATGAATCTTCACCCCTCTCCCTCCCCTCCTCCCTGTTTCTTGCAGAGGCTGTGGATAAAGTCAGCACTAGGTTGTGTGGGATCCACAGCTGCTGCGTGAGCAGAAGCTGCAGTTTGACTCAAGTCTTCAGTACCCTCTGTAAGAGGAAAGATTTTTCAGCTTTCTTTGCATGACTGGAGATGTTGGCAGCTCATGACAAGGCCTGGTCCCCACTTCTCTGTATTTCTTGTGCAAAAAAGATAGTACCGGTTCCAAACTGTTTGGAGAAGGCAAATAGGAGTAGGAGCTGGACCCTTGATAAGTCACTTAACTTTGCTCATTCACGCAGTGGAATGGACATAATATTTCTTAATATTACAGTTCTGTCCTGGGAAATGACGTCTGTAGGATTCGTTGAAGCTCTTCGTTGGAGTGCACAACGACTGTTGCAAAACCAGGGACTATCTTGGTGTTGTTTGTGTGCAGGATCTTCCTAGTAGGTGCGTTCAGTCCAGAGGCAAGACCACAGCCATCTCCCAGAGACTCCTTCTGTGATGCTGCTTTCTTGGTTCTGTGTGGAGCTCTCATGGCAGCTCTCATTGGCACTAAGCTCATCAAACGTGTGTGGTTAAGTGGCCGGTACGTGTGTGATGCACTTGCCTTTTGAGGTGCTCTGGAGTGTTTTACAAACACCAGCTAAATCCCCCTCATGTTTTACATATGCTTGTGCATTTGGAGAAATGTGATGCAGCAAACTACTTGGAGAACCTTTGCAATGGTCTTACAGGGAATCCATGAATGCTCTGGGAAGAGGCTCAAGCTCTTGTTTCAGTTCCCTGATGTCCTACCCGGACAACGTGCTGTCCCCTTTCGTGGGGGATAAGGTCTATGAAGTGTTGCCATACAGAGAGGAGCAGCACAGGGAGAGCAGTTCCTTTCTCCTGCCCTAGCTTGCAAGTGGCAGCAGTGTGTTAAACTGCATACTCTAACTCTTGTACAAATTTAACAGTTAATGCTTGTGCTAAACGGCCCAAAGATGCTCGTGTCCCTTGGGAGGCAAGAGATAAGTGGCAAGGACAGATCTGCAATCCTTAGAATGGCAGAGAAAGAAGAAAAGCTCTGTTCTAGCTGGATAGGCTCTAAATCATACGCTTAGACTTCATGTTAAAAGCTCTTTAACTGCTTGCACTGGAGGGGCAAACTTATTTTCAGCACCATTGAAGAAAGCATCGCTGGAACTAGACTCTTGGCACTGCAGTTTTGGAGAGGGATCTAGTGCTCAATGTGGCGGTTAGCAAACAGGCAGGTACTTTAATGCAATATAGCAGTTAAGTGCCACTGACTTCTCTAGTTCTCTGCATCCTACTGTCTGTGCTGCCTCTTGCAAGTGCAGCTTGAAAAGGAAGATAGTCTGTGTGTGAATGGTCCTGGTCAGGGCAGCTTAGCTTTTCCTCTGCTTCCCTTCCTTTTGCTTTGGCTTTAGTTTGGCTGCAATTCCTACTTATTCCAGAAAAGATGACCTTGAAGGATGGGGAGGAAGAATGAGGTTCTTAAGCAGTAATTGCAAAGAAGTCACACTTATGCTTAGTGTTGGTTATTGAGACTATCTGAGCATTAATACCTTGAGGTTTTCAGGTTTTGTCACCCAGATACCTCACTATATTTTCTTTTTTTTTCTTATCTTTTTATGACTAAATTTTATATTCATCATTTATTACCTTGTTGTTGATTCATTTAGAGTTCCTCAGCAGGTTGTCTCGGGACTTGACATGAAAGAGGTGAGTTGTGGAGCTCTGCTCTCCCCTGGCTGTGCTAAGCAGCACGAACAGCCCGTGAGTCAGCAGGGGTTACGGCTGCCGCCCGCAGAACGGGGCTCCAGCCCTTGTATCTCACAGGAGAATTCCTTCTTTATAAGGTGGAGAGAGGCAATGAGATGCTGAAATGCAGAACAGTTGCCTGTTACTTTCCACTACATTTCTTTAAATGTCATTCCCACGTATCCTCTTAGCGTTGCCACTGCAAACTTAAATACATAATTGCATGAACTAATACTGTGCTCAAGACGCCACTAAAGCAGAACTGAAAACTTCATGTTTGTGCCAAAAATCTATTTCTGCTGGTACCTGCGTGTAATAGCAAATGGCTGCATAAATGTTTTTTAGATGACCACTTGCTCCAGGAGGATTTTACTTCTGCCTTTTGCTCTTGTATCAGTCATGTTAGCATATTCTGTTAGCGTAGGTGATATATAGGCTATAAACCCTGGACATGGAGGGATATTCTCTTCCTAGGAGTTACAAAATGCTGCTGAAAGCAAAGCATTAACCTCTGCTAACCAACTGCATTTATTTATCCATAAAGATCCCCTTCCTTCCTAGAGGTCTTCACAGTAGCCAGAAGGGGCCTTCAGCTCCCACTGTATTTTTGTGCCTGGCTTCTGATTTTACAGCTAAGCTTGCAAACCACTTCATTCATCCCAGCACAGAAACTTTGCAACCAAGTTGTGTGTGCCAGCTGCTGTCAAATTAGCCCGCTTAGGAGTCAGCAAAGCTGCTGAATGGCATTTGTTTTGTTGTAGGGCAGAGAATGCTCTCGGTGTGCACAGAGTAAATATGATCCGGGTTTGTGCGACTGGGGAGAAATCCAATTTGACTTTCATTCAATGTGTTTGTTTCTCTAAGGAAATTCAATATTCCTTCCTTTGTGCGTGAACAAACCAGCTTAGCGCAGGGACTGCCCACACGAGTACAGCAATAACCATTTGGGCTGCACTTGTCGCCATTCTTATAAATTAGTTTAAATAAAGTCACCAGCCCAGGCTGCTGGGGAAGGTTCAGGTGTCCACTGGAAGATTTCTGCAGGGATTTCAGCACTTCATCTCGTCGTGGGATTATTCTTCTTGTCCCTTTACCCCCGGCCTCCTTCAGATGTCACATTAATATGTGCTGGCCTGTCTCATTTGCTCTTTGCTGAGTTTGGCTGCTAGGCTTCGGGTTAATCCTCGCTGGAAGAGCCTGGGCTTGGTAAATCTTCCTCCCCTCGCCATCCTATTAGTGGGGAAGTGACCTTTTGGAGCAGTCATCTAGTCGCAGCATCTGCAGGTGGAAAACAATCTCTTATGAAACAAACGGCATCTGCCTGTGGAGCATCTATTATTTACTTGCCTTTGAGTGAGCTGATAACTTTATTCATGAAGGAGGGAAAGGGTGGGCAAAGGAAACATCCATCACTGCAGCTGCAGTGCAGGCAGCTCCCAGCCCTCG